TCAACGTGGCCCTGGAGCTGGGGTTACAGGTATGGAGGAGGAGTGGGTCATCCCTGCTTTAGGCTTCTGGCCTAGTGATCATCGGTAGAAGATAAAATCCCAGAAGCACTGGGCGTGAACCAGCCAAGCCCAGGTCTTTCTGTGTCCCCAGAACACAACTTCTAGGCTAGGCTTCTAGGTAAGGACTCTCTAAATTAGCTCCATTTTGAAGTTAAGGCCAGAAGCAATGTAGCTTTAGGCTCCATAGGGTTCCCATTTTCTCCCACCCCCTCCCCATCTCTCCAAGTCAAGTCAATAGTAAGGTGTGATAATAAGGACTTTGTTACAGGTCATCAGAGAAGGCTTCTACCTGATTGGTGGGAGGGGTGGGCAGAAATTAAACCTGTCTGTTCTTATCAGGAGAGAGACGGCTGTTTAAAGCACCAATAAATACTTGTTGCATAAATGGATGGTAAGGGGATGTGGGGATGTAGAAGTCCTAACAGTTATGCTTAGCCAAGTGGAAATGCCTCTTTTTTGCCCAGGTAATGAGGATGACCTTATCAACTCTTAACTGGAGGCGCCGGGAGATGGTGCGGTGGTTGGTGACATGTGCTACAGAAGTGGGTGAGTCTCCCACTTCCCTCCAGTCCCCAGGGAAAGGAGTTCCTAGGCCCTACTCTTGGAACAAGACAGCGAATCCTTAAAGCTCTCACATTCCTATTACTGATGGCCTGGGGAAGGATGGGGCTGCTGGCAGGAAAGATGGCCTTTATTTAGCTAGCCCAAGCTCTGCCCTCACTGCTTGGACCATACCCTGATGTCAGCAGCACTTTGACCCTCTGATCAGAGACATGATTGAGAGATTGAATTTTCAGCCACCAGTATACAAGTGCACCCTTGGGAGGTAGTTGGCCCAGTGGTTTGGTCCCAGTCCCTGCCTATGCTCCTGAAAAACCCCAGACAACTTGGAGTCTTGGGACCCCGTCTAGAACCCAAAGTCCCCTGAGAGGCCCCACTTCAGCTAGAACCCCCAGGCAGATCTGCGACCCCTGCCTTGGGGCAGGTAAACCACAGGCTCTGCTGCTCCATCCTTGTGAGGGGCTAAGAGCACCTGCAGTAATCTTCAACCCTCTGACTTGGGGAAGGAAGGGATGGGAAGAGACCCCAAACAGGGTCTGGCCATCCGGGATGCTCCCTGGTTTGCCTCAGATCATCTCAAGGCTGCTGAGGAGGAGGGAGAACTCATCTCTGCAGGCCAAGTTCTGACCCCAAAGGGTAATCTGGGCAGACCTGGATCGGGACCCGGATGGCCACGGCTGAGCTCAGGCTCTCCCTGACAGGTGTGCGGGCCCTGGTGAGCATTTTGCAGAGCTGGTACACACTCTTCACCCCCACTGAGGCTACTAGCATTGTGGCTGCCACCGCTGTATCCCACACCACTATCCTGCGCCTCAGTCTTGACTATCCACAGCGAGAGGAGCTGGCTAGCTGCGCTCGCACACTGGCCCTACAGTGTGCTATGAAGGATCCACAGAGCTGTGCCCTGTCAGCCCTTACACTCTGTGAGAAAGACCACATTGCCTTTGAGGCAGCCTACCAGATCGCCATTGACGCCGCCACTGGTGGCATGACACATTCACAACTGTTCACCATTGCCCGCTACATGGAGCTCCGTGGCTACCCGCTACGTGCCTTCAAGTTGGCCTCGCTGGCCATGAGCCATCTCAACCTGGCCTACAACCAGGATACCCATCCAGCCATCAACGATGTGCTCTGGGCGTGCGCCCTCAGCCACTCTCTGGGCAAGAATGAGCTGGCAGCCCTCATCCCCCTGGTGGTGAAGAGTGTGCACTGTGCCACGGTGCTCTCAGACATCTTGAGGCGCTGTACGGTGACGGCGCCAGGCCTAGCCGGCATCCCAGGCCGCCGCAGCTCTGGGAAGCTCATGTCCACCGACAAAGCCCCACTGCGCCAGTTGCTGGATGCCACCATCAATGCCTATATCAACACTACACACTCACGCCTGACCCACATCAGCCCTCGCCACTACGGAGAGTTCATTGAGTTTCTGAGCAAGGCTCGGGAGACCTTCCTGCTGCCCCAGGATGGCCACCTGCAGTTTGCCCAATTCATCGACAACCTCAAACAAATCTACAAAGGCAAGAAGAAGCTGATGCTGCTGGTGCGAGAGCGCTTTGGCTGAGAAAGCAAACAGCTCACTGCCGGGGCAGCCTGGGCTCCCAGGTACCACAGGTCAGGCCAAGGACACTGAAACATTTGTTCACCCTGAGAGGACTCTGAGCACCTGTGGCTGAAGCCAAAGCACCACAGGGCTAAGCATGGGAGAGTCCAACTCTAGCCAATATGCCTTCCTTGGCAAAGTTCTCACTATAGCCCACTGTTCCTGAAGGAGCTGGGCCCTGCAGATCGATCAGAAACCCCACAACATGCCACCTCACGCCCCTATATCCTGCGTGTCCTGGGCATTGGCCCGCTCTCCCTTGGCAAACACAGAACATTGTTCCGTCTCAGGGATTGCTTAACCAGAGAAACAGAAGCATTTATGGTACTGTAAATACTATAGTATATGTGTTGCCAATTACATTGTAAAGTTGTAACTATTTATAATTCTGGTTCTAATTTGATGGGTACTTGAAGTAGCTATGGGTGGGAAGATAGGCTTGTTTTCTGAGGAGACACAACCATTTCTCAGGTTTCCCTTGCAGAATAATACAGATTGCAGTGGAAGAGTGGGGGTGGTGGGGAGCACAATGGCCAGTTAGAATAAATCCCAGGTCTAGTCTATGCAGAAACCCCAGCCTGCAGACACAGGGCATCTATATAGCCCAGTGGTGGGAGAGGGGCAGGGCCAGGACTGGACTTAGACTCTTGCCTCAGAAAGCCACAAGGACAGTAAAGCTCTTGCTCTTGCCACACATAGCCTCTCTAGGAGCCTGTTGAGCTCCTGAGAAATAAGTGCACAGGGGAGGGTGAAGGTCTGGGAGGCCACTGAGCTCATAATATTCATCTACTCTGGTCACCTTTGTGTTAGAGAGTGTCTGGTTTTATCTCTAATTATGTACACGTCTGTATGTATCTGTATGGCTCAGTACACGTGTCTGTGTGCATACCCATCTTGCACATATATTTATGTGTATCTGTGTCAGGTCTGGGTCTCTCTGAGTACATGTCTATGTGCTGGACTGTGGGTTTGTATGTGAGGGTATACACATCTGTGAACATGTAAGGATACGTACCTGTGTGTGTTCCTGTCAGTGCATGTTTAGCTGGGGGGGCACACAGATGCATGTGGATAAACATGTCTGCGTTTGTATGCTTGCTCTCCTTTGGTCTGTCTTTCTATTTATAACTGTGTGTATTTTGACATTATGTCTGTGAATTTATGTTTGAGAATCTGCATGAATGTGTCCCTTCTCTTTTTGCCAGATCTCTCTTCCCCATTCCTCTTCATCTCTCTCACCAGCTAAACACGTCCCTCATCTCTTTGCCTCCCTAATTCACCATTTTCTCAGCAAGCTCCTAAGCACCAGTCTCCCTCTACCCTAAGAGTGATTCCTTCAGCTCCCCTTCTCTTCTTGCCCTGTACTTGCTTTCTTCCCTTGCCTTTCTACCTCAAGCTTCCTCTGTCTGCCCACTGGTCACTGTTTTGGAGGCTGGGGCTGGAATGCATTTGGCCTTTCCCTTTCTGAGTAGTTTCTACCCCTAGTAGGCAATGCCTGTCTTAGCCCTAGCTGACCTCCGCAGTGTATCATGTTCCTGCTACCTTCCTAACCCCTGTGCTCAGCCTGGAATTGTTATAGGAGGTAGCATGGGCTTTCAGAAGAGTCATCTGGATGCCAGTGTCTTGGTGTTTACTGTTTCATGTTTTAGTTCCGAAGGGGGGGGTGGGGGTGTGATAGGAAGGGGTGGTATAGCTAGAGTGTGAACTAAGGACCTCTCTGTCTGCTTTATGTTCCTTTCTTTGACAAACTGTCACTTTTTTTTCCCTCCACACTAACCAGTAAGTCGTTTTTGCTGTTTGTGGCTACTTGTCTTACCATCCAGCCATGGGCCCCTACAATCTCTCAGCCCAATAGGTTGGTTTAAAAAAAAAAAAAAAAGCAGCAGCCACTCCCATTTCTGTATCACGATTGCCGTTTTTTAGCAAGTGTGTGAACTCACAGTGCTTTTTCTATGAATAAATCATGGATCACAGAAAATAGCATTTTTCTAAAATCAGAATTGTGTTCTCTCAATAAATGGGGCCCTTCTCTTCTACATTGCCCCAGACTGGGACAGGGAACTGGTTGGGCCTCTAGTGCAGTGGGTCCCTAGTGGTCTAAGGAGATGTAGAATGACAAATGAAGAATTTCCTGCCACACCACACTCCTCTCCAGAGCTCACAGGCACCTTGTCCCAGGAGGTAGGTATGATGGGCAGAAACACCAAAGTCCTGAGAAAATGAGAGGGTATGCTCAGAAAAGAATGCAGAGCAACCCTGAGTACCATAGCACCTTTTGGCTTCAGAGGCCTTCTGGCCTCAAAGATGCAAGTCTAAGTCTCTACTCCTAAGCATCCTAGCCCTCCCCCATCTTTTGGTGTCAAAACTGAAGTCCTCTCAGCTTTTCCCTGCTCACCTAGATTCCATCTTCCCCAACAGGCCTCTAGAATATTCTAGAAATTTCTGTGCCCCTCTCTGATCTATACTCCCCTCCATCCCCAGACACAAAGCTCTGTCAATTTGGCCTTCTATGCTGTGGGGACCCCATTTCTCTGCAAATGTCACAGCTTCAGCGCTAGGAAGCTTTACCCAACCCCATGTAGCCCTCAGGCTCGGAGAGCTGAGAGCAAGATGGTAGTGAGGGCCCTGACATTGAGTCCTACAGTGCATATTCACTGATATCTGAGCTCCTATGACTTGGAGGAGAAGATACAGAAAGGGGCCCCAGAGAAGCAGAGGCTAAGAAGGAACTGAGGATAAGGGCAAAGATCTTCCAAAAATGAAACCATATATTAGATTCCAACTCTGCAACTTTTATTCTCCTGTAAACAATCATCTTTGTTAGTGGTAGTTGAGGGAAAAGGTGTATGCTCAGTTCTGTCGAAGCAGACGTGAGTGTCTATGCACAGCATCCACAAAGGCCCCGACGTGTTCTGGGTCCATGTCAGGGTAAAGTCCATGGCCCAGGTTGGCAATGTAGCGCTGTGGCCCAAAGTCATCCAGCATCTGCTGCACCAGCTGTCCGATCTCCTCCTGGAGGACCAAAAGGGCACTGGCTACAATGGGGCCAGCAAGCCCCTGTACTCCCTACACATAATTGTGACACATACAACATGTAGGTATGTTTCTACTCAGTGTTACTGAGTCATTCAGTCATTAATTCAAAAAAGTTTACTGGATGCTTAGTATGAGCCAGACAACTATAAAAAGAAATTCCTGCTTTCCTAGAGCTCACATGATAGGTATAGAGGGACAAACATAAAATAAAGACACACACACATTAATACAACCATATCCACAACCATGGGAGTATACAGACTCACACACACACATAGGGACCCTGGTTACCTCAGATGCATACAGGGCACAGGGGTCCAGGTTGCCCTGCAGGGTCACCGTCTTCCCCACACGTTCCCTGAAAGTAAAGTCAGCGCCATGTTCTGGTGACTGCACATATGGCAGCTGCACCCTCTCCACACCCTTTATCACTCACCGGGCTTTCTCTGGGGCCACTGTCCAGTCGAGCCCAACCACCTCGTAGCCAGCTTGGGCCAGCTCTTCCAGGGCAAAATGTCCATCTTTAGCAAAGATGATCTGAGGGAAAGGACAGATCTCTGAGGCTACAAAGGGCCTTCCTATGCCCAATAACTTATCTTGGCTGCACCTCTGCTGCCCTCCAGTGGTCACTTCAGTCCATACAGGACATACCCGAAAGTTCCACAGGCCCACCTTCACTTACTCCATCCCCATCCTTACCATGGGCACTGGTGCCAGGCCTGCCTGCTGCAGCCTGGCCTTCACCCGCTTGGACACATCACGGATGTAGGGCAGCGCAAACTGACTGAAGAGCTGTGGGCCAAGATGCCCTGCATGGGACTCAAAGAGCTGCAATGCCTACAGTTGGCGGGGGTGGGGGTGGGGGGTGGATTGGTGAAGAGAAATACATAACACACTAAGTATCTCAGGCCCCACACACAACGTATCTCAATTTTTCCGTAGTGACTTCGGACCCTCATACTGCTTAAGCCTGTAAATCCAGTTCCATTCAAAAAGTTTTGCCTTGGGCGCCTGGGTGGCTCAGTTGGTTAACCGACTGCCTTCGGCTCAGGTCATGATCCTGGAGTCCCAGGATGGAGTCCCACATCAGGCTCCCTGCTCAGCAGGGAGTCTGCTTCTCCCTCTGCCCCTCCCCCCTCTCATGTGCTCTCTCTCACATTCTCTCTCTCAAATAAATAAATAAAATCTTTAAAAAAAAAAAAAAGTTTTGCCTTCTCCACATTCCAGTGCTAGCTTTGGTCTTTGAACACATAGCACTGCCAATGTCAATGACAAGGTGGACCTAGGTGCTCCAGTCAGATCATTGTAGGCCAAGCTTCTTAATGCCAGGCATTAAGACACCTACCTATCCTCTCAGGTGTAAGGAACTCTACTGCTTCTCATTCTTCTAGACCCCAGCCTTTCTCTCTCTCTCAGGACCCACCTGGGCACCAGCGGCCACTTGTCCCACCAGATATGGGACCAAAGCATCAGTGAGGATGCGAAGCAGCTGGTGACTAGCCTGTGGTTTCTGGTAAAGCCAACGCTTGGCCTGAGCCATGGTGCTTGAGCTGCCACCCTCAATCATGTATGTCATCAGAGTCCACTGCAAAAGGATACAAAGAGAATGTCACAGGTGTAGAAGCCAGACTGATACTTACTTCCCTTGTCTACACCAGACCCGCCAGAGTGATTTCCCCATGCCCAAATCCCTGCCCTGTTCCACATTACCGGGGCACCAGCAAAGCCAATCAGCGGCACACGCCCAGCCAGCCGTTGTCGGGTGAGGGTGATGGCCTGGAATACATAGCCCAGCTCGGAGGTCACTGATGCTGGATCCCGGAGACGTTCTAAGTCCCGCTCTTCTCTTAATGGCTCTGGGAAGCTAGGCCCTTTGCCAGGCACCATAGTCACCTCCATGCCCAGTGCCTGGAGGGGAAGAAAATATCTGGATTCCCAACCTGTAACTCTAGGAGGAAAGGCTCTGTTTAGCCCACGCCAAGAAGGAGGAAAAGGAGAATGAAACTTGGCCAAACTCCATCTCTTTCAGCCCAAGTTTTTTCCTCTGTCCAGTGAGGATAAGGGCTTATCTTGAGCCTTGATTATCTTTACCCTTTCTTACCCATCAGGTTTGAGCGGGTACCTGGGGTACAACAAGGATGTCAGAGAAGATTATGGCAGCATCCAGAGGGAAGCGACGCAGTGGCTGTAGGGAATAGAAGACAGGTTACTAGTAGGCAAGATGAGGGCATAAATCCCTCCCTTTTTTGTGAAGGCCTCACCTGCAAAGTCAATTCACAGCAGGCCTCCGGGGAGCGACAGGTGCTGAAAAAGTCCTGAGCAGCCCGAGTTTCCCTAAACTCTGCAGACAAAAGAAGAAAAGCAGGGCTCAACCTTTTTTTTTTTTAAAGATTTTATTTATTTGACAGAGAAAGAGACAGCAAGAGAGGGAACACAAGCAGGGGGAGTGGGAGAGGGAGAAGCAGGATCCCCACTGAGCAGGGAGCCCAATGCGGGGCTTGATCCCAGGACCCTGGGACCATGACCTGAGCCGAAGGCAGATTCTTAAAAACTGAGCCACCCAGGCGCCCCAGGGCTATCAACCTTAGGGAACCTCTGGATCCCTCCCCTACCCCTCAAAATCTTTTCACCCTCCAGAGTTTCACTTAGATCAGGGGCCCTGACCCTGACCTGGTAAGTAGCGGCCTGCCTGCCGCATGCACCAAACGGGAGTGTAGTCTGTGGCTTCTCCCCAGGCTGCTCGCAGGAACGTGTCATTCTTCAGCTCTGGAAAACCCTGGGATCTGGAGATCAGGAGGGGGTGGGGGTAGGTGTCAGTAAGCTAGGCCAGGGGTTGGGGAAGGTCTGGGTTTTTTTGTTTTTTTTTAAGATTTTATTTATTTATTTGACAGAGAGAGACACAGTGAGAGAGGGAACACAAGCAGGGGGGGTGGGAGAGGGAGAAGCAGGCTTCCCGCCGAGCAGGGAGCCCGATGCGGGGCTTGATCCCAAGGAGCCTGGGATCATGACCTGAGCCGAAGGCAGACGCTTAACGACTGAGCCACCCAGGCGCCCCATGGCCTGGGTTCTTAAGGCGGATTCATTCCAACACCACTATCTGCCTTCTCCAGCTAGTTCCTAAGCTGTGGCTCCCCGCCCATTCCACCTCTTCTTTGCCTATCAGATGGTGCACAAGACTAGAAGGGCCCGCGCTGGGGCCTGTATCTTCCACACAGCCCCAACTTCCCCAAGCTCAAAGCCACTGGAGAAACTGGGGGAAGGGCGGAATGAAAGCCCAGTAAGAACTGATCGGGGTCTTTGGACCAGAAAATCTCGGGAACAAGGCTACCAATTGGCTGGTTCGGAAGCTGGTAGATCCCCAGGCTAGGGGACAGTGAATGAGAAAACAGAGAAGACGGTCCTAAAATACGGATCCTAATTGAGGATTACAAAATCCTGGAGGCATCCCCTAAATGAAAGTCTCTGGATTCCATGGGTGGAGGATTAGGGACTCCAGCGACAGGAGTCGGGTTGGGAGCTCTCCAAAGTGGGGAAAGAGAGGTATAGGGACAGATTCCTGAGATGGAAGACTCAGTTCAGAAGCCACGCGGGCCATACCGCGTGGTGCAGAGAACTCACCCCAACCCGTTTGCCTCCATGATAAGCCTTCGGTAACTGCGAGCACAGTCCCCACTTTAATGTCAACCGGAGAGCACAGACCCCACTTTAAGGTCAACCGGAGCCTGTGAGATCAGGCTCCACCCTTTCCTGGAATGAGCCAAGGCCGCCGCCATGTTGAAAGTCACATGATCAGACACCGGCCCTTAGCTCCGGGGCTGCCCCGGCTGCTGCCTGGAGGACCCCCCCCCCCCCCACCGTAAAGTCCGCTGTAGCGTCGCAGTAACAAACGCCCCGCCCGCCAAGAACTCCGCAAATAACTACTTAACCGTGGCATCAGGAATTTCCTCTCCTCTGATAGCCTGGAAATCCGGAAGTTTCGGCCGAGGCTCATTTTACTCCCCTGCTCCATGATTCTAAGAATCTTATGCCTAGCGACCAGGCACAGAGTGGATTAAAGAACCTAGCTGTACAGGGAAATGAAATAATTTAATATTTATAATACTGGGGCACCTGGGTGGCTCAATCGGTTAAGTGTGGGACTTGCGATTTCGGCTCAGGTCATGATCTCCTGGGTCCTGAGATTGAGTCTCCAGTGGGACTCCACACTCCTCTGGGAGTCCGCTTGGGATTCTCTCCCTCTGCCGGTACCCTCACTCATGTGTGTGCAGGCACCTCTTTCTCTTTAGAATAAGTCTTTAAAAAATATATATTATCTCTTAAGAGGCGGGCACTATAGTAGGTGCAGAAGTTACAGTGGTCACCAAGACAGCCCTTTCCTTTAAGGAGCTACAGACTAGTGGATCAGCAATCATAATGTTTTAAGAGGAAAAGGCTAGAAGCAGCTAGCAAGGCTCCTTCCTTAACTGGGGAAAGCTGTGGGGGTGTTCCAAGCAGAGGGAACAGCATGTGCAAAGAGAAGATGCAAAAGAACAAATGGCTATCATGGGAACCAGAAGACCAATCTGGTGGAATTAAAGAGGCTAGAGATGTCTTCAGGGTACAGGTCATGCAGGCTCTTGTGAGATTCATTTGTCCACTTTATTCTGTAGTAGCATGGTAGCATACAGATAGGTTGGAGAGAAGGGAAGAGGTCACTATGTTCCCAACTTCCTAGGGAGAAAAAAAAAAAGGAAAACTCACAATTACATGGGATCATATATTCTTTCTTTCTTGATAATTTTGATTATTTGAAAACTATATGCCAAAACAAAGTTTCCATCCAAGTGTCCATCAACAGATGAATGGATAAACAACACGTAGTATGTACATAAAACGGAATATTAGTCGACCTGTAAAAAAAAAATTAAGTTCTATTCATGCTATAGTATTGTTGTAATATTATTCTAAGTTAAATAAGACAGACCCAAAAGGACAAATATTATATGGTTCCATTTATAAAATATCTAGAATAGGCTAATTCATAGAAGCAGAAAGTAGTTTAGAGTTTACAGAGCAGGCCATGAGGAGTTATTGCTTAAGGAGAAAGCCTTTCTGCTTGGAATGATGCAAAGTTTTGGGAATAGGTAATTGTACTCTTAAAATGGTTAACAACAAATTTACACTTATTTTACCACAATTTTTAAAAATATATCAAAAACCATTGTACACTTTAAATGGGTGACTTAGATGGAATATGAATTATGTATCAATAAAACTTTTTTAAAGCTGTTTGTAGGGGAGGGCGGGAGACAAAATTTCCTTTTCCTCCATGATTATAGTTCACTAACAGCTCCTGTCCATTTTTTTGCCTCCATCCTAGCCAGCCACCTTGGACCTTTCTTCCCACATTGGACCTTTCCTCTCATCTGGTTCAGAATTACCGGGAGAAACTGGATAATGACCACCAGTGTCCTAGAATTAGGAGTAACCACCAGGATTAACCCCGAATGACTCAAGACTCCTGTCAGTGGTAGGGCTGAGGAGGGAATTATTCTCCCCCCAAACATTTTAGCAACACTGCCCCTAGGATGAGGAGCTGAGAGAATGTCTATTAGATTTTTAAAGATTCTTCTGGTTGGAGTATGACTCGTGGGGGTGGGAAGGCAAAAAACAGGCCAGAGAACCAGAAAAATGTCTGTTGCAATGATCCAGGCTAGATAGAATGGTGGTTCAATGAGGGTATAAAATGGTGGCAGCAATGAGGATGGACAGGGAGAGATGGATCAGGTAAAGACAACTGAACTTGGCTCTGGTTGGCTCAGCGCGAGGCACATTGGTTTGTAATAAGTTGAAGTATCCGAGTACACAGGGTAATACGGCGGGCGCGCGGGGTGCCCTTAGTCCAGAACTTACGGCGAAGGCTGGCCGAAGGCGGGGCAGAGCGTGGTGGGAAGCTTGGTCAGTCTTCGCGGCGGCGGCTCCCGGAGCCAAACCACCGCCCCTGAGCTTTCCTTTGCCACTTCACCATGGCAGGCCCAGGGCCGGGCGCGGCTCTAGAGTCCCCGCGGCAGTTGCTGGGCCGCGTACGCTTCCTGGCAGAGGCAGCGCAGAGCCTCCGCGCCGGACGGCCGCTGCCGGCGGCGCTGGCCTTCGTGCCACGCGAGGTGCTCTACAAGCTTTACAAGGACCCGGCGGGTCCGTCGCGCGTGTTGCTGCCGGTGTGGGAGGCGGAGGGCCTGGGGCTGCGTGTGGGAGCCGCGGGCTCCGCGCCTGGTACCGGCTCGGGGCCCCTCCGCGCTGCCCGGGACAGCATTGAGCTTCGGCGCGGCGCCTGCGTGCGTACTACTGGCGAGGAGCTGTGCAACGGCCACGGGCTCTGGGTGAAGCTGACCAAGGTACTCCCTGGCCTGCCCTGGGCCCCGCAGAAGACCCCCGGCGCCAGGGAAGCCCCAGGCTGTTCCCTTCCCATCCCCCATCTTGAGCTAGCATTGAGTTCCGTGTCCTTTGCCTTGGGCCGGGCAGGGCGGGCAGCTGGGCAGTTCCCTGACGGCGGTGCCCGCCTTGCGCGTCTCGGCAGGAGCAGCTGGCAGAACACCTGGGCGACTGCGGGCTCAACGAAGGCTGGCTGCTGGTGTGCCGACCGGCGGAGGGCGGGGCCCGCCTCGTACCCATCGACACTCCAGACCACCTCCAGCGGCAGCAGCAGCTCTTCGGCGTGGACTACCGACCGGTGCTCAGGTCCTGCAATTGAAGGGGCGAGGCTTGCTGCCGGTTGGTTTGGCCCGGAAGGGTTGGAAATTAGGCGGGCACAGGCCGGGAGGTGGGATATGGAGAGAAGGCAGGGTTAAAGGCAGGAAGGGGCGGGACCTGAATGGGGCTGGGGTGGAGCTTCTGGAGGCACAGTCTGGTGGAGATTGAGCTCTGGAGAAAGCTCTCTGGGGGTGTCCCGCTGCCCACTGATGTCTCCCCATGCCCTACTCTGTGCCCACAGATGGGAACAGGTGGTGGACCTGACATACTCTCATCGCCTTGGATCAAGGCCCCAGCCAGCCGAGGCATACACAGAAGCTGTACAAAGATTACTGTGAGTGAACTGGGGTGGGATAGGGAGAAAGAATCTCCAGGTCTGGGCCTGACCTAATTAGGGACTTGGGGTTGCGTAGCTATGTGCCCCCGACGTGGACCTACGAGTGCGACGAGGACCTGATCCACTTCTTGTACGACCACCTGGGCAAGGAGGATGAGAACCTGGGTAGCGTGAAGCAGTATGTGGAGAGCATAGACGTTTCCTCCTACACGGTGGGTTCTGGGACTCCTCCCACCCCAAGCAAGATGTCACTTCTTGCTAGATCCAGAACCCTCACCTTTAGGCCAGGGCTAAGCCTAAATCCCCACAGGCCAGACTCAGTCCAGCACCCCATTTTGGAAGTCCTCTAGGAATCCCTAGACACTTACCCTCCATGCCAGCTGTGCTTTTAACCCAGCTCCGTGTGCAGGGAGTGAGGTAAACACTGTCTCCACCTCTCTGCCCCTCCCCAGGAGGAGTTCAATGTGTCCTGCCTGACAGACAGCAATGCAGACACCTACTGGGAGAGTGATGGGTCCCAGTGCCAGCACTGGGTACGGCTTACCATGAAAAAGGGCACCATTGTCAAGTGAGTGGGCTCTGAGGTAGGACAGAGTGGGTGGGCCCCATGCCTGTAAGTGTACAGAGATCCGTGTGCATACTCTGACCACCCAGGAAGCTGCTACTCACAGTGGATACCACAGATGACAACTTTATGCCAAAGCGAGTAGTGATCTATGGGGGCGAAGGAGACAACCTGAAGAAGCTGAGTGACGTGAGCATTGATGAGTGAGTTAACAAGCTGGTCTGGGAGGGGAAATGAGGCATGATCCTAGCAATGGGGCCTGGCCCCACTTGGAAGTATAAGGTCAGGTGAGAGCCCAGCAATCCCTGAAGGCAAGGGATATTCAAAGTGCCTCACATCCATCTCCTCAGGACCCTGATCGGGGATGTATGTGTTCTGGAGGACATGACCGTTCACCTTCCAGTCATCGAGATCCGCATCGTCGAGTGCCGAGGTAGGGCTTCGGGCGATAAGGGGGGAAAGGGAATCCCAGTGTATAGATAGTGGCTAGCTGGTAGTGAGTATGGAGAAGAAATGGGCTTGGAGTTGGGATGCGGGTGATAGCTGAACTAAGTCCAAGATGTGAAGCTTTGGGCCTGAGCCAGGTGGGAGGCACCAGGTATAGGCCTGCCTTAAAGCCGTAGAAGTGGTTGGGCTCATCTGAGGAGGAACTGAGTTGGGATGCTCAGGCATTCCAATATTAGAGGGATGGATGGAGGAACCGGCAAAGAATATGATAATCAGAGTCAGATGAGTAGAAGGGCATCTCAAAGGTCCCAGGTTTCTAGGGGCTAAAGGTAACAAAAGCCTGAGCATTCAGGAGCCATTCTCAGGTCTGAGGGCCGAGGAGGCAGCTAGTACCCTAAGTAACCTCTCTCTGACTTCTTCCCCCAGATGATGGGATTGATGTGCGTCTTCGGGGGATCAAGATCAAGTCATCTAGACAGCGGGAACTAGGGTTGAATGCAGACCTGTTCCAGCCGACCAGTCTGGTGCGATATCCACGTCTGGAAGGCACTGACTCTGAAGTCCTGTACCGCAGAGCTGTTCTCCTGCAGAGGTGGCTGTGGTCCTGTGCCTGCCCGGCCCTTCCTTCCCCCAATCCTGAACCCTCTTTATCCGTATGAAGGAGGTTCCCCAGGCCCTATACTGTAAACTGTTCCACTTCAAGAGTGTCAGAGCAGATCCTGGGTCCCGCCTTCTCCCGTCCTCGTGTGTTGGGGAGTGAGGGGGTCTTAAATCCGTTCCACCCTCTTTAGTTGCACTATCTTTACCTACTCACCCCAGATTCATAAAGATCCTAGACAGTGTCCTGCACCACCTGGTACCTGCCTGGGACCACACACTGGGCACCTTCAGTGAGATTAAGGTGAGCCTGGCCCCCCCCAGTATTGGTGTCAGCAGTGGGCTCCTCCTTCTGCTCATGCAAGTGTTCTCTTTTCTACATAGTTCTTAAAACGTACTCTAGGCCTGGACCTTTGCTGGGCTCTAGGAACGTAGGAAGAAAGCCAGACACAAATAGTTAAAATGTAGTGTTTGGGATGCCATTCTCCCAGATAGTATGTGAAATATATAAGAGCTGGGGGAGGAGAAGTATCAGCGTAGACAGGGGAAGCTGCGAGAGAGGTACATGCTGGGAGTTGTTAGCTGCTGAGGATAACCAGAGAGCCTCGCGCAGGTAGGTGTGTGTATGACTTGGGGATGAGGCTGAGTAGGCAAACAGCGGGCCCTGATAGCAGAGGGCACCATGGGCCAGGCTGTGAAGGAGGGACTATGTCCTAGGTCAGTGGAGCCATCAGAAAGGTTTTAAGTAGGTAATGACAAAGTTTGATTTTTTTGTTTCAGAAAGCTCCCCCTGGTGGTTGGACTAAGGGAGAAACTGGAAACAAGGAAGGGGGAGCGCGGTGGGGGGGATGGACTAGGCATGGGCTGGAATTATGGAATTGGGTCCAGGCATAGAGGAAGGTTCCAGAGCCTGGACAGACACTGACTGCCTGCCAGTCTTGCTCTGTCCGCCTCTCTTCACCAGCAAGTGAAGCAGTTCCTGCTGCTGTCACGCCAGAGGCCAGGCCTGGTGGCCCAGTGCCTGCGTGACTCCGAGAGCAGCAAGCCCAGCTTCATGCCACGCCTGTACATCAACCGGCGCCTCGCCATGGAGCATCGTGCCTGCCCCTTAAGGGACCCTGCCTGCAAGAATGCAGTCTTCACCCAGGTTTGGACCACCTGGGGTCGATCGAAGGGAGAATCAGTAAAGGGTCTGGGGGCTGGGCCATGAGGGACCTAAGTAAGGTCTTTGGGCCAGAGTGGGGCAAGATCTTGACACAGACTTTCCTACAACTCCCTTCCATTTCCCCTGCCCTCAGGTTTATGAAGGCCTCAAGCCCTCCGACAAGTATGAAAAGCCTTTGGACTACAGGTATGGCATGAGGGTGAGGGACTTGTGCTGGGCCCATGTAAACTATACATCCCCGCACACTGCCTCTGGAACCCCTCACCATTACCCCTGTGGCCCCTACTCCTGGCTGGGGTCTGGGCTGGTGAAATGTCCTGAACCCTGACCCAGCATAGTAACAAAGATCCACCCCATCTTACAGGTGGCCCATGCGCTATGACCAGTGGTGGGAGTGTAAATTCATTGCAGAAGGCATCATTGACCAAGGTGAGGCCCTGAGGAAGGATAATGAGGATCCTGTCCTATTTAGAGTGGTAGAGGCTTCTGGGGTCACGGCTAACCAAGATAGAGGACCTGTTTATTACCTCTTTATGGGGGCTGGGGCTCTTGAGTGCCCCAGCTGAGGGCATCTGTCTGTCATTTCAGGGGGTGGTTTTCGGGATAGCCTGGCAGACATGTCAGAAGAGTTGTGCCCTAGCTCAGCAGACACCCCTGTGCCTCTGCCCTTCTTTGTGCGCACAGCCAACCAGGTAATCTCCTATCCCTACTTCTCAAGTTGTTTCTGCTGCTCTTCTCTGCAAACCTCCCAGGTGCTGACCTAGAAAGGGGGCAGAGGAGGGACCAAGTTGCCTGGGGCAGCCTCTGGGCAGACAGGGAAGGAGGAGCAGTTAGAGGGATCATTCAGGGCCTCCCGTGGAAGGTGTGCAGACAAGTCTTTGAAGAGTCTGGGGCAACAAAGTAGGGTCCATTCCACGCCATGCTAACAGCTCTGTCTTGGGAGCAGGGCAATGGCACTGGTGAGGCGCGGGACATGTACGTGCCCAACCCCTCCTGCCGAGACTTTGCCAAATACGAGTGGATCGGACAGCTGATGGGGGCTGCCCTTCGGGGTAAGGAATTCCTGGTGAGTAGCCTAATAATCTCCACCTCCATCAGATCAGCCCGGGCCCTAGAAGGAAGAAGGGCCAGCTAAACCTGGGCAGCCCAAGATAAGAATACAGTAGTATTCGTCCCATAGGTCCTGGCTCTGCCTGGTTTCGTGTGGAAGCAGCTCTCTGGTGAGGAGGTGAGCTGGAGCAAGGACTTCCCAGCTGTGGACTCTGTGCTGGTAAGTAGGGCCTGGACCCAGCGTTTCCTCTGCAGAGCCCCTGAAAGTCACTGTTCCCCAAGGGTGTCCTGAACCTTCTCTAACCTCACACATGCTCCTTTGCCAATTCCTTCTATTCCCATGGTTTCAACTACTGTCTTTATTCTGGTGATCCCCAAATTCTTACCTCTAACTCCAGCCTCTTTCCTAAGCCTGGACCCATATATGCATCTGCCTGCTGGACATCTGCCCCAGGATGGCACCTCAGGCTCAGCACAGTCTTCATCACCTCCCCATTCTACTGCCCTCTAGGGCTGTCTCAGAATGGTACCACTGCCCACCCTTGCCCTATGCCAAGGCCCTCAGTGCCATCCTCCACTCCTCCTCCTCCCCCACCTCCTACTTTCTGTCACATCTCCCTCTGGAATCTATCCACTTCTTCAATCTTCCTGGTTCAGACCACCTTCCTTTCTTACACTGCCACTGACTACAAAGCTGGGGTTCCTATCTCCGTTCTTACCCAAGTGATCTCTGGCAGCCAGAGTAATTCATTTCCTTCCCCTTGTTTAAACCCTTCAGTGGCTCTGCCCTGGGCTTAGGATAAAATGCAGAACCTGACAAAGCCTTATATGATCTCTGTATCTCTGGCCACTTGGCTCCAGCCAAACAGATTACACAGGTCTCTTGCTCTTTCTACTTTTTTTCAAGGTGTTCTCTGTCCTGACTTCCTTGTGACCCATCAAACTCACAGGCATCATTTGGGTCTCAGCTTAGATGCCATTTCTTCCAGGACACCTTCCCTGGCAGCCAAGGCTGGCGAGGTGTTGTCTTGATGCTCTCACCGTCCTTGTTCCGACCCTTCACTGCCGTCATCGCCCGCATGGGGACTGCCTTGTCTAGCTGTCTCTCCCACTTCCCTGTCAGCATCTTGAGAGAAAACAAGGACTGTCTTCACAATGAAAGGCCAACCTCCTTGCCTCTCTCCAACCCCCAGGTGAAGCTCTTGGAAGTGATGGAAGGCATGGACAAGGAGACATTTGAGTTCAAATTTGGGAAGGAGCTAACATTCACCACTGTACTGAGTGATCAGCAAGTAGTAGAGTTGATCCCTGGGGGTGCAGGCATCGTGGTGGGATACGAGGACCGTTCCCGTTTCATTCAACTGGTGCAGAAGACCCGGCTCGAAGAGAGCAAGGAGCAGGTACCACCCAGAGGCTGGCAGAACAGAGAGCTTTGCACAGCTCCTAATAGGCAGAGCCCAGCCTGATAGGCCACCAGTACCCGATCACAAGAACTCTGGCCCCACCGTTCCTCTGCTCCATAGTCCTACTTCTCAGTGGGGTTCAGAGATGGCCCCCAGTGCTGAACAAAAATCATGTCCCCCATTATCTCTGTGAGTGGAGGCCAAGTACCCCACCACACACTGACTCGGGAGCTGTACCCCCTTTCCTAGCCAGGCCTTTCCCTCCCTCCCCAGCTGGCAGCCATGCAGGCAGGTCTGCTGAAGGTGGTGCCGCAGGCTGTGCTGGACTTGCTGACCTGGCAGGAACTGGAAAAGAAGGTGTGCGGGGACCCAGAGGTCACCGTGGATGCTCTGCGCAAACTCAGTGAGTGTGGGGCAGGGAAGTGCAGGGCTGGGGGCTTAAGGACTAGGTAGGTTGGGACCTAAGAATGAATCTGCCCACATCCCCAGCCCGGTTTGAGGACTTTGAGCCATCAGACACTCGGGTGCAATATTTCTGGGAAGCACTGAACAACTTCACCAACGGTGAGTGGAAGAGGAGAGAGTGATGCCTGGGCTCGGATTCCACTTGTGGGATACTGAGGCAGGGCAGAAGTTGTGGACACCCCCCACCCCCCCACCCGCCCCCCGTCAGCGCAGACCCTGATTTCCTTCTCTGTCCAGAGGATCGGAGCCGCTTCCTGCGCTTTGTCACTGGCCGCAGCCGGCTGCCAGCACGGATCTACATCTACCCAGACAAACTGGGGTGAGTGGGGCCAGAGCCGGGTGGGGCTTGCTTGCCAAAGGGGCTGTGGCTGGCTCTGCCTTCTCCCTGCACACTCACACATCAGACCCCTACCCTTTGTCCCTACAATTCCTCCTAATCTGTGGCCCGTCTATGCCCCCAGCTACGAAACCACAGACGCACTGCCAGAGTCTTCCACTTGTTCCAGCACCCTCTTCCTACCGCACTACGCCAGGTGGGTCTCCTAGGCTGGAGCCTAGAGAGTGGGGAGTGGGGGAAGGAGCGGCATCCTAGGATGGAGGAGGACTTCGAGTACTGAAGTGCACGAACTGGAGTCACCTTGCCCCTAGCCTGTGTGCACTGGCCCTGGTGGTGATGGAAGGACCTCTGCACTTGGCGCTGACCACGTCCCTGTCTCCCTCAGTGCCAAGGTGTGCGAGGAGAAGCTCCGCTATGCAGCATACAACTGCGTAGCCATTGACACCGACATGAGCCCTTGGGAAGAGTGAGGCGGCGCCAGGGGGCAGCCTCGGGCCAGCGGGACTGTGCCTGCACAGGTCCCACTAGCCGGCGCACAGGGTAAAGACACAGTCCCTGGACCTGTTGGGGTCTGCGCGCTCCTGACCTGAGCTGGCATACTCTGAAAGACAGTACACCCCTGTGTCTGGTTGGAGTGGGGGCGGTTGATTGACCCTGGTGGCCCAGCCCCGCAGACCCACAAGCCCTATGCGTGCTCGGGCTTGCTTCCCGAGTTATTTAGCCTCTGTGAGAGGAAATCTTCCCATAAGCCCAGCGCAAGCTGCCGGGCCTGAGCTACTTGAAGGGGGCCTTCTAGCTCCCCACCCCATGGACTTTACTTCAGGGTTTGGTTGTTTTTTGTTTTTTTGGGTGTTTTGGGGGTTTTTTGTTTTGTTTTGTTTTGTTTTTTGGGCTCCTCCTTTTTTCTCCTTGTTTTTCTCTGGCTTCAGCCTGGATTCAAAGCTAAAACTTCTGGAGGGTAGTGGAGGCTCCTCCCCAGACAAGGCATCAGGGATAGATAGAGAGTAATGGCCATCCTCTTTGGTCACCTGCCCCAAGAATGAAGCAGCAGCTGAGCACCTTCTCCCTCACATACTTATCTTTTCCTCCTCTCCCTCCATACCCAAAGTGTGAGCTCTGTCCTTCCCCCAACCCAGTCTTAACTGACAAAGTGCCACCACCTTCCCTGGCTCAGAACCGACATCTACTCAACATTAAATCTTTACTACCACCACCATCGCAAACATATTCAACCCTTACACATCACCTCCAGGCTGATTCCCCATCTGCTATGTCATCCCCAAGACGGTGCAAGGTTAAGGCCAGTTATGTCCTCTCTGAAATCTTCAGTAGCTCCCTTTCACCCAATCAAAGCCTAGACTTTAAACCTGCTCCTAAGTCTTAATGCAGGTCCCTGCCCTAGTCCTCCCTCCCTTAAGGGCCTCCATGACACTCCATCAAAGAAGGTCTTACACATGGGAAAGTTTAATAAATGGATGTATTCATTCTTTCAGAATGTGTTTATTGGGCTACTGGGGAATGGCAGGGAAGGTTCTTCTAGGACTTTAGGGACCTGGGCTGGAAGCCAGGGAGATTGTGTGTCAAGTGGGAGTGGTGGGTCTTCACAGTGACAAGCATTAAATCTGAAGCTGAGCAGGGAAATAAGGGCGCTACTATGGGGAGAGGTGGTTCACGGAGCCTGGCCTGGCATCTTCTGGGATGGGTTTGGTGATTTGGAGGATGGGAGCCCACCTTCAGGAACCAGGTGGGCGGAAGAACTTGACATCGTAAAAGACAAAGCCTTGAGATGGCTGATAAACCAGCCAGGTCAAACTTGACAAAAGAGGCAGCGGCATATCTCCCCATCCACACCCGACACGGCCTCTAGTTACCACACAGCTAAGAAGCTGTCTTTAAGACCAAGTACCAGGTGAGAGATCTCCTGCACATAGAGACCAGCCCCCCTCCCCCAGCGGAAGAAGTCAGTGTCAAACAGTCTCAAGGGAAGTGGCATTCTCCCAACACTTCTCCACACTGCCCTCTAGGGCGAGTCCTGCTGCTACCCTGGCTGGGAAACACCAGGCCTTGGCCTTGAGCCCCGCCCCCTGGGGCTGCGTGTAACCCTATCTCCCCATAACTCTTGAGTCTGACACCCCAGCTGAGCCTCCCAGGCAGCCTTCATCTTGTGGATCCCCAATGCCTGTGCCTTGGGGGGTCCACGGGAGATACACCTTCCTCTTCCAGCAGCCTCTTCTTGCCCAGGGAGCTGGAAGGGTAGGAGCCCCAGAAGCCACCGCTCCCGTCAGCTCTGTTCTTCCCAGCAAGCTCCCCCCTCTCTCTTGTGAATCCTGCCCCCTCAGAAATGTCATTCCCCTTCTGTTCTCAGGAAAGAGCGTGGCCAGCATACACCTCCTGGAGGTAGTCTGTTTCTGTGTCTGGTACTGGCCGCTGAAGTCTTTGGTCCCTCTTTTACCAAATTGGGCTCACACTGCATGTTTTGTAGCTTGCTTTTCATCCAATCATTCAGTAAATGCATCAACACCTATGTCAGGCACTATACTAGGTACAGTGGGGAAAATACTGGCTAAACGTAATTTTTGCTCTCTTGAAATTTAAACTCTAATGGGAGAGGAAACAGTATATTAAACAAATAATTGCATAAACAACATTTAATAGCCTTTATGTAAGAGCTCCAAAGAAGAAGCGAAAGGTATTGTTAGAAGACAGAGCAGGGTGATACTAACCAGTGGGGCTCAGTGGAATGCTGAATCAGGGAGAATAACTGGGCACAAAGTCCAGCCAAGAAGCACATTGAGTCCTACCAGACTGTAAAGGGAAGAGAGAAGAGACTCCAGCTTCAGAGGCTTGTTTTAGGATTTTACATTGACCAGTCATGAGGGTGTCAAGCAAGGGAGTGACATGATTAGATTTGCCTTTGGCATCTGTGTAGAGAATGAGTTGAGAAGGGGAGCCTGGAAGCAGGAAATAATCCAAGCAGGAAATGATGGTCACTGGGACAAGGGAGATACTATATTATTTATATTGGCTGCATTTTATTACATTTTAAGAAGTTTTCATCACTTCTACACATTTAAAACCCTCTGCTGGGGCACCTGGCTGGCTCAGTCTGTAGAGAATGCAGCTCTTGATCTGAGTCACGAGTTCAAGCCCCATGTTGGGCACAGAGCTTAGTTTAAAAAAAAAAAAAAAGCCACCTCTATAAATGGACATTAAGGTTGTCTACAAATTTTTTATATTGAAAACTACGAATAATACAATAAACATCCTCATGCATATATCCTTTCATACCTATTTAATTATTTCCTTAGAATGACATCCTAAACTCACCATCAAACTGCCAAATTGCCAGCATGTATCAATTTTACTCCCTTTAGTGTCTATTTCCTAAACTCTGACCACCCTTGGGCATTAACACTTAAAAATATTTTTTGGTAATATGCTGAAAAATGGTGATTGTTATTTTAATTTGCACCACTCTGATTATTTACTGAGCAACTATTTTTCTTCTTTATGAACTGCCCTTTTTGTGTTCTTATTGATTTATAACAATCTCTGCATAGTACTAAAGTAATAAGCACAGCAAGGCACTGCACTAACTGCTGTACATCTATTATTTTATCTTCTTAACAACTCTATGAAGTAAATACTCTTATTGTCCCCATTTCCAGATGAGAAACCTAGAGCAAAAATGAATTAAGTAACTTGCCCAGTGTCACACAAGTAGTAAATAATGAAGCTAGGATTTGGATGGTGGTCTGCCAGTGCCAAAGCCTGCTGTCTTGGTAACTAAGGTACTAAAAATCCTGTAGATAAATACCTTTGTCATGTCGGGTGTTGCAATTTGGTTTTACCAGTCTGTACTTTGCCATTTAATTTCATGTATGTTCTTTCCTAATGTACAAAATTTTAAATTTTTTATGAATTCAAAATCCTTATGGAAGATTGGATATATACCCTGAGAAGACAACATAGTATACTTGTTAAGGGCACATTCTGTAGAGTTAGCTTACCCATATTCATATCCTGGTTTTTCCACATACTAGCTGTTGACCATGGCCAAGCTTCCTCGGCATCCTTTTCTGAAGCACTTACCCTTTTACTGTTGATTTGAAATGCTGTCTTTTCACATACTTATCATAATTTTCTGCTAAATTTTTATATGTAAGAAATCCTCAAAAAGGGGCACCTGGGTGGCTCAGTCGGTTAAGTCTGCTTTCGGCTCAGGTCATGATCCCATGAGCCCTGCATCAGGCTCTGATGGGGGGGGAATCTGCTTCTCCCTCTCCCTGTGCCCCTCCCCTCCACTTGTGCTCTCTCTCACTCTCTCTCTCTAAAATAAATAAAATCTTTTTTAAAAAAAATCCCCCAAAAAATTAAATTAAAAAAAAGAAATCTTCACTTTTCACAGTACTGCCAAAATGTAAAACTGACACTGCAAGTTGAGACCAAGCAGAAATCTTAATAGTCAATGGGAGAAAATACCATTGTTCTGTGACCTTTAAAATTTTTTGTCAAAGCATCAGAAACTTTCTGTCAGTTATAAATGTACAGGGAAATGAAAACATGGTAAGACTAATATTTATTTAGTACATTGTAATCTCAAGCATTCAGAGAAATTGAAAATTAAATTGTTTTCTTTGCAAAAAAACTTATCAGAAATAGTTTGAACAATGCTTCCCTCTTTTTTCTTTTTCCTTTTTTTAAGATTGTATGTATGTATTATGTATTTATTTAGAGCTCAAGCAGGGGGAGGGGGAGGGGAAGAGGGAGCAAGAATCTCAAGCAGACTCCATGCTCAGTGCAGAGCCAGAGGCTCGACCTGGGACTCAGTGGGGGTCTTGATCCCTCGACCCTGAGATGATGACCTCAGCCGAAATCAAGCATTGGACACTTAACCAACTGAGCCAGCCAGGCATCCGCCTCTTTTTTCTTATAATATGGAATAAGTATCTTCACTATGCCTTGATGAATTGTCATACTCCTTTTTACTTCCAACATTCTATTCTTTTTAGGTACAATCTCATGAAATATCTCTAATAATTCCGTGAATGCAAAGTGTTTTTTCGCTGGCATCATGTTCCTCTGGGACATCTTCATCCCTTTTGTCACAGCCACTTTCCTCCTTTTGTAGATGAAGTAGCCTTCACTAAATTCCTCTGGCTGAGGATCTGTACTCTCTCATGATGGCAGTGTTAACATTCCCATAATCAGCTATTTCTTCTATAACTCCATTTATGTTCAATTTGAATTTCACTTTCAGCCTTCTCACTTTTCATTTCTTTGCTGCACTTTCATTTTGTTGGCCAATTCTGTTATCTTTTTTTTAAATATCATATGGGCTTATCACTGGGAGACAAGGAAGCAACACAACTACATTCTTGCTGTGTGTGTATGAACCGAATACACAATGCACAGGGTACTAATTACCAACATACTGAAAGAAGTGACGTGATTGTTTCACTGCTCATGATGCACATTCAAAAAAAGTTGATTCTGACAATGTTTTTTACAGTATTCTCATTGCTTTTATGGAGGAAAGAATTTTTGGAAGGACTTTCTCCACCATTTTTACTGATTTCACCTGTTCATTTTGTATTTGCTTATAAATGTATTGGAGGGGGAAATCGGAGGGGGAGACAAACCATGAGACTATGGACTCTGAGAAACAAACTGAGGGTTCTAGACGGGAGAGGGGTGGGGGGATGAGTTAGCCTGGTGATGGGTATTTAAAGAGGGCACATATTGAATGGAGCACTTGGTGTTATATGCAAACTTTGAATCATGGAACACTATATCAAAAACTAATGTATGGTGATTAACATAACATAATAAAATAAAATTTAGAAAAGTTATAGAGATTTAAATGAGACACAAGTCCCAAATTTCAATAACCTCCATAAAACTCTTAAGACTTTATAGCTGCCAATGTGTTCTTTTCCCTGTCCCTCCTCCCTGCCTAACTTTTTCTTATTCCCAAAGTACTTATCACCTTTAATATGCTGTACAGTTTACTCATTTATTTTTGTATAGAGTTTATTTATTTGACAGAGAGAGAGAGATCACAAGCAGGGGGAGGGGCAGAGAAGGAGGGAGAAGCAGGCTCCCCACTGCCCAACATGGGGCTCAATCCCAGCACCCTGGGATCACGACCTGAGCTGAAGGCAGACGCTCAATGGACTGAGCCAGCTAGGCACCCGTACTCATTTATTTTTTAAATTTATTTATAATGTATGCTGCCTCTGCCTGTTAGGATGTGGGTTGGATCCTTTTTTTGTGCACTATATACCTTAAGGGCCTAAAACTGCCCATGGCACATAGTAGTCACTCAGTAGATAGCTGTTCAATAAATAAACTGTGGCTCATCAACCATACTTTCCAGTTTAAAAATGAGGAAAATCAGCCATTTGAAAAGTTTTGTTTTCAGTAAAGGAGGAAAAAAAATACCAAATTGACTAAGTCATGTATTTTTTTTTTTTTTAAAGATTTTATTCATTTGAGAGAGAGAGAGAGTACATGAGAGGGGGTAAGGTCAGAGGGAGAAGCAGACTCCCCGCTGAGCGGGGAGTCTGATGCGGGACTCGATCCCGGGACTCCAGGATCATGACCTGAGCCGAGGGCAGTCGCTCAACCAACTGAGCCACCCAGGCGCCCCAGTCACGTATTTTCTTAATTGACCCATCAGTTTGTATGTTTGTTTGTTTGTTTGAAGTAGGCTCCACCATGGAGCCCAACTCAGGGCTTGAACTCATGACCCTGAGATCAAGAGTCGGACACTTAACGGACTGAGTCACCCAGATGCCCCCTGACCCATCAGTTTAAAGCATAAATGTCCAGATTCAGACCTTTAAAACCACCAACAATGAAAATTTTGTGTGCTTGAAAGGAAACAGTGAAGTCCCAATTAATGAAGTTATTTTGCAAGCTCTTTATAGAAACACTATAGCATCATTTGCTCTCTAACTTACCATGAATCTATTAGGCAACTGGTGGGCTTATGTACAAAAATAAAACACAAATATTTTAGGACCTGCAACTGGTTGCCAAAGTAGAGTTTCTCTTTTCATTTTTATCTTTCACTCAGTACTCTAAAAATAATAATTTCCTGCCCCACTGACAAGTCCACAGCCAAATGGAGTAGATGAATATTATGATGTGGCCGGCAAATTCCCAAAGAGAGAGCTCTTGCAGACCGTGGGAAGAGTATTTCTGAGCCAAGGCCCAACTTTTGAAAGGTTTCTTTTGTCTCCCACAGTTCAAAGAGAACTTTAGAGCTTGACCTTCTTAAACTAGTCTCCACCACATATAAAAACATACATATAAATATCCCTTGGGGAAGAAATGTGAACAGGAAACAAACATTATAGGGAACAGCCTGTATTCAATATGCCTTTACTAAGTACTTCCCATGCAATTCATAAATAAAAATTAATAAGCATGAGGCTAGGCATAAGAGATAATATAGACTGACTTAATGAGAAGGAATGTTCTGGAAAAGAGATGTTGTCAGTGACCTGGGCCCTCAGCTCAGTTTTTCCACCACCAAATGGGAGGTCAAGGGAAATTTGTGAGAAAATTTAATTTATTCAATATTATTTACTTAGCATGTCCCAGGTCCTGTGCTAGGACCTGGGGAGAGAGGAGTAAATAACATACAGCCTTTGTCCTCCAAGGGCTCCCAGTGTGACAGAGAAAACATGAAAAAGGGGATGAAAATCCTTTGTGATGAGTTCCATAATGTAAATACTAGAAGCAGTGAGCGCCAGAAAGAAGGAATCCATGAGGCAACAGTTCCTCAAGTATGCTCTGTGGACCTCTGGGAGTCTTTAAGACCCTTTCAAGGTATCTGTCAGGTGAAAACTATTTTCATAATAATACTAAAATATTATCTGCCTTTCATTGTACTGATATTTGCACTAATGGTGCAAAAGCCATGGTGGCTAAACTGCTGGTGTTTTGGCATGAATCAAAGCAGTGATACCAAACTGTATTAATACGCATTGTATTCTTCACTGCCACACACTTGCAATAAAATTAAAAAATAAAAATAAAATAATAATAAAGCAAAGTAAGTTTCACTTAAGAATGTCTTTGGGGGCACCTGCATGGCTCAGTTGGTTAGGAGGCCGGCTCTTGGTTTCAGCTTAGGTCATGATCTCAGGGTCCTGGGATGGAGCCCCGTGTTGGGCTCCATGCTTAGTGGGGCATCTGCTTGGTATTCTCTCTCTCCCTCTCCTTCCATCCGTCCCCCTACTTGCACTCTCTCTCTCTCTCAAATAAATAAATCTTTAAAAAAAAAAAAACAACGTCTTTGATGGAGCAATAACATAATTTTATTAAATCTTGGTCCTTGAGGGTGCATATATTAGGCACTCAATAAATATTGTTGAATGACGTCAAACTCCTTTATTTTTATTGCAAAAATTAAACTCCCTTAATTTGGAAGGAGCTGAAGCAACTCAAGGTGTAAGAGAGGGACAGAAAAAGAAGCAGCTTCTAAAAGATTAGGTAATTATAGGAATGTGTGGGAAAGAGAGAATGGCTATTGTTCCTGTGATCTACTGTAGCTTACCAACCACCCCAAAACTAACTGCTTAAAACAATTATTTTATTATTATCTCTCACAATTGTTGTAATTGTCTAGATGTAGGCATTTGGGGTCTCTCATGCAGTTGCAGCCTCTTAGGTGGACTCCCTAATTCCAGGGAATCTATTAACGCAGCAACCAGAGTGATCCTTTAAGAACCTGTCATACCCGGGCGCCTGGGTGGCTCAGTCGGTTAAATGTATGCCTTCAGCTCAGGTCCTGATCCCAGAGTCCTGGGTTTGAGCCCCGCATCCAGCTCCTTGCTCAGCTGGGAGCCTGCTTCTCCCTCTCCCTCTCCCTCTGCCTGCCGCTCCCCCTGCTTGTGCTCTCTCTCTCTCTGTCAAATAAATAAATAAAATATTTAAAAAATAATAAAAAATAAATAAAAACCTGTCATATCATGTCCCTCCTCTGGTTAATTCAAGGTCCTCACAATGGCCTACAAGACCCATGTGATCTGAATTCTCCGCCCAATCTCCCATTGCCTCTTTGACATTTATCATCATTCACTTTCCACCTGGCTCATTTCCCTTTAGCTATATTGGCCTTTCTACTGTTCTTTGAACATGCAGGCTCTTCAGGGCCTTTGCACTCGCTAGCTAGTCTACTTATAAGGCTCTTACCCAGGATATCCATCTGACTCACTCTCTTCAAGCCAGTGTCACTGTCTCAATGAGGTCTTCGCTGACACCCCTCCTCCCACAGTTTTGATGGTTAAAGGTGATTGTTTTCCATACCATCAGAGTCTGGTTCAGAAAGCCGATGTGAGTCTCCACCTTAGACATCGCAGACCTAGAAAGCCTTGGCAATCCCTGACCTGCAAGGGCATTTAGACATTTGTCCACTGGCTAGCCCAAAACTGCGGCTCCCAATGAGCTCTTTTCACAGAGTTGTAATCGGGGCCAGGTCGTAGAATGAGAACTTCTTGAAGCAAGAGACCGTGACTTGTTCCAGTGCGGATTCCAGGGGCCCAGCATTAGGAAGGACACTCGATGGGCGTTGATGATTTGTGAATGAGTCGAAAGGGAACAGACCACAACGCCTCCTCTCCTCCTGGAAGCACGCGCGCTTTGGGTACACAATCTATCGCTCCGTGCTCGTCCCTCCTCCGCGGGCCTGCCCCGCGCGTCCCATCGATCTGCTCGGCCATCGCGCGCCTGCGCCTTTGGGCTGTCAGTCGGAGGCGGCGTGGGGAGCGCTGGGAGCTGCTGTGGCGCGCGGGGAGTTGAGAGGTAAAGCTGCGGCTTTTGCGCTGCCAGGCCCCTTACGAGCTGGCTGTTGGGAGTCAGCACCGCGGTGAGGGCCACGGGGCGCCGCTTCAGGCTCCTTGATCCCGGCCAAGGAAGGCCTGATGGGGTGGGCGGGGGTGCAGAGCCCCAGGGTCTCCAGCTCGAGTCCCTGCCCGACCCGGCCAGGCAGCTAAGTGGCCGAAGTAGAAGGGAGCTTGGGGAGAATCTGAGCCAGACACCTTATGCAACAGATGGAGAGGAGTTTCGGGGAGGGGAGCATCTGCTTGAAGTCACAGCGAGTGAGAACCAGATCCGGGACCAGACACTCTTAGCACAGTGCCTGAACTCTTTCCACTTCAGCCCTTCATTTATTTATTCTGCCTATTTTTAGTTGTTTGGGGGCAAGGCAATCAAATAGGAATACAGTAAGATCCAGATGAGAGACCAATTTTGACAGTGTTTTACCCATTTACAAAGGGAGAAGGCAATAACTGCTATGATGGAAGCATGTCTGAGAAGCCATGAACACCCTCTTCTAAAGATTGGGAGGCTAACGAGACTCGTTGCTGTGATTCCCATCACCCAGTGGCATTGAGGCATTTTGACAGTCCGCTTCAGGGGTCTGTGAGCTTAAGTATCAGGTTCCCTTCTAGGAACTGAGGACGCTTAGAGTTTTAAATGTCAGGCCTCTGGTCACCTCACCTATAAGTGGTAGAACCAGAACTCAAACTCGGGTCTTTTGACTCCGAAAGCGCCAGTGCTCTTTTCATAATAACATCAGATGTGATAGGAATTATATAACGCCAGCCAAATTGAAGTTAAATTCCAATCTGACGCAATGCTTGCTGGAATTGAAATTATGGGTTTTTTTTTTAAGATTTTATTTATTTATTTATTTATTTATTTATTTATTTATTTATTTATTTATTTATTTATGAGAGAGAGTAGCAGCAGGAGAGGGAAAAGCAGGCTTCCCGCTGACTAGGGACCCAGATGTGGGACTCAATTCCAGGACCCTGGGATCATAACCTGAGCTGAAGGCAGACGCTTAACGGACTGAGCCACCCAGGCGCCCGGAAATTACCCTGTCTTTAAGTTGTAGATGTTGTGCGGGAGCCTTCACTTTGTGCCTTGGGTGTACTGGGTTTAAGTGCTGCAATTTAAATATTGATGAGGGGGGCGAGCCCGCATGGGGCTCCCTGCTCCGCGGGAAGCCTGCCTCTCCCTCTCCCACTCCCCCTGCTTGTGTTCCCTTTCTTGCTGTGTCTCTCTCTGTCAAATAAGTAAATAAAATTTAAAAAAATATATTGATGAAGGGCCCAGGACTTATCATAATTGTGGGCAAAAGTGCAACATTATTTGCCAATTTGGTGTCAAATATTTTTTTCTGAATAGTACATTTCACACTTGTATTTAAAAAGTTATATCGTTTGTTGTAAATCAAGAAGTACTTTTATTTGGGGCGCCTGGGTGGCTCAGTCGTTGGGCGCCTGCCTTTGGCTCAGGTCATGATCCCAGAGTCCTGGGATCGAGCCCCCCATCGGGCTCCCTGCTCCGTGGGAAGCCTGCTTCTCCCTCTCCCACTCCCCCTCCTGTGTTCCCTCTCTCACTGTGTCTCCCTCTGTCAAATAAATAAAATCTTTGGGCGCCTGGGTGGCTCAGATGGTTAAGCGTCTGCCTTCGGCTCAGGTCATGATCCCAGGGTCCTGGGATCGAGTCCCGCATCGGGCTCCCTGCTCCTTGGGAGCCTGCTTCTCCCTCTGCCTCTCTCTCTCTCTCTCTCTCTCTGTCTCTCATGAATAAATAAATAAAATCTTTAAAATAAATAAATAAATAAAATCTTTTTTAAAAAGCTACTTTTATTTTAAATCAGTAAGGAATTATCACCTTTTACTATGCACCTTTTCTGTGGTAGTTGCTGTAAAGAGATTCTTTTGAAGGTCAAACTTTGTTTAGTACCTTGAGTTTAGAAAAAGGAATTAATCTGATTTGTTTCTACCACTGGGCTCTGCAAATCTAGGTTCAGATACAAGCCTACATTTGTGTTTATAGCAATTGTTATTTTTTCTATGACAGCAGTTTGTGAAAATGGAATTTCAAGCAGTAGTGATGGCAGTTGGAGGGGGATCTCGGATGACAGACCTGACTTCCAGCATTCCCAAACCTCTGCTTCCAGTTGGGAACAAACCTTTAATTTGGTACCCATTGAACCTGCTTGAGCGTGTTGGATTTGAAGGTGAGCTATAACAATTACATATACTCATAAAACTTCAGGGATGTTTGATCCCAGTGATTTTTCAGCTTTATGAGGGTAAGAAAGGATGAATGAGAGAAGACCAGGACTCAGCATTGACTGAATACTGGCCTCTGTAAATTAAGAACATAGGAGTATTCTATTGCTGTGTAAAAAGGTTGAGAAGACAGCACTGGTACTATGTTAGAGCTGCTCTCTGCAGTGATCCAAGATGAACCCTGTAAGGATATCAGAAAGAGCACAGTGGGAATCCAAGTTAGTACCTCATAGTCAGTAGTTACTGTGAATCTATATGTACCCGGTAATATATTAATATATTAAGGGGCACAGTACTGGGAAGATAACTCAGACCCTGATTTCTAGGACCTTATAATCTAGATACAAATATAAATAGAGGGGACATCACTACAGATCCTACAGACATTAAAAAGATAGCAAGTAAATATAATGAACAACTTTATGGTAATAAATTTGACAACTTAGATGCACATTTTAGAAATATTGCTTTGGAAACTGTATAAAGAATGGATTCGAGGGAGTCAAGACTACAAGCAGGTAGATGAATTGGGAAATTGATACAGCAGTCCACACCAGCAATGAAGAGGACCTGAACTAAAGAAGTAGCACTAAGAATGGCAAAGAGGGAACTTTTGAGAAAGTTGATGATTAGTGGGGAGGGAGAGTGGAGAAAGAGAGAAGAGTTCCCTCTACTTTTTGCTTGGGTGACTAGGTGACTAGATGGTGATATGAGTAACTAGGAAAGGTATTATGAGTCAAGGAACAGGTTTGAATGAATATAATGAGTTTAGCTTTGGCCACAATGAGTTTGAGGTATCCTATAGTTAGATAAAGCAAATCTGAGTACCAGGTGGAAGTGGTGTCAGATCCTGGGGCACAGTCTCATGTTCCAGTGTTCATTGTACTATGAGAATTGCCTTCCTGAGACAAACCCATGAACATTTCTGTGCAGTGGTCTACATGACATTGATGTTAAGAGATGTTAGAAAAGATTTTCTTTTTATTATTTATTTTATTTTTAAGATTTTATTTTATTTTTTTTTAAAGATTTTATTTATTTGACAGAGAGAGAGATAGCGAGAGAGGGAACACAAGCAGGGGGAGTGGGAGAGGGAGAAGAAGGCTTCCCGCCAAGCAGGGAGCCCGATGCGGGGCTCGATCCCAGGACCCTGGGATCATGACCTGAGCTGAAGGCAGACGCTTAACGACTGAGCCACCCAGGTGCCCCAATTTTATTTTATTTTTAAAGATTTTATTTATTTATTTGAGAGAGGGAGAGAGCACAAGCAGGGGGAGCAGCAGAGGGAGAGGGAGAAGCAGGCTTCTCCCGCTGAGCAGAGAGCCCGATGCAGGGCTGGATCCCAGGACCCTGGGATCATGACCCGAGCCCAAGGCAGCCGCTTAACCAACTGAGCCACCCAGGTGCCCTTAAGATTTTGTTTTTATTTATTTATTTATTTATTTTTAAAAGATTTTATTTATCTATTTGACAGAGAGAGACACAGCAAGAAAGGGAACACAAGCAGGGGGGAGTGGGAGGGAGAGAAGCAGGCCTCCCGCGGAGCTGGGAGCCCGATGTGGGGCTCGACCCCAGGACCCTGGGATCAAGACACAAGCCGAAGGCAGGCGCTTAATGACTGAGCCACCCAGGCGCCCCTAAGACTTTATTTTTAAGTAATCTCTACACCCAATGTGGAGCTTAAACTCACAACCCTGAGATCAAGAGCCACATGCTCTACCAAATGAGCCAGCCAGGTGCCCCAAAAGATTTTCTTTTTAATACACTTTATTTTATTTCATTTTTAAAGATTTTATTTATTTATTTGCCAGAGAGAGCACAAGCAGGCAGAGGGAGAAGCAGGCTCCCTGCTGAGCAAGGAGTGCAATGCAGGACTCGGTTCCAGGACCCTGGGATCATGACCCAGGCCGAAGGCAGACGCCCAACCAACTGAGCCACCCAGGCGTCCCTTTAAGACACTTTAAAATATCATACTACCCTTTAATAACTCCTTGTGGATTTGTCATCAGTAACTTTTTTTTCTTTTACTTTTGCTATATCTTCAGTTTTGTTTGGGGGTTGCCTTTTATGGTATATTTAATACCCACTATGTAGGAAATGTCTTCTCACTAAGGCTCACTCAAAAATTGATGAGTGCCTCCTAAACACAGGATTCTGGAGTTTAATAGCAAAGTCTATGTTCACTTTCTTCATATTGTTCATGAGTTTGGAGAAGTTAATGTGGCTCTGCTTAGCGTTTTTCTTTCTCTCCACACATACGTCTTAGTCCAGTTATTAGACTGTCCCATATTTGCAGTTACTCTTTTCACTCTATCCACTCTACCTAAAATGTTCTCTCCAAAAAAATAAAATAATAAAATAAAACGTCCTCTCCAAAATGTTATGTTATCTTCTCTTTGAAATTCCAAACAACATCAATCATCCTGTCCTTTATGGTTCCATCACACTTTGTTTTTCTATCTCAGTACCAACCAAGGCCTGTTTTATGCTATAATTAGTGGCATGGAAGACTGATCTGAGAGCAGTACTATACCTCATTCATCTCTGTAACATCAGCATTTACAGGGTGTGTACTAAAGAAGTTTTTGGTGGTCTTGAATGTATCTTGGCTTATCTCAAAGGCCATCCCTTCCAGGAAGCCTTCCATAGTCATTTCTCCATAATTTCTCCACGTTAGGTTTCTTAAGAATAGGAACCATGTTGAGTTCATTTCTGACTTCTCAGTGCCTATTTTTCCTTTACATATTAAGTGTATTTGTATTTATTGGTTGAATGAGTTGGTTACTAAAAGCAAAGCAGGGAATGGAAGAAAGATGAGAGAAGGAAAGAAGGAAAGTTAAATGATTTGGAAAAGAAAGAGGAAGAAAGAAGAGAAGGAAAGAAAACAGAAAAGTATGATTACAGTGAAAGGGAGAGATAATTGTTACCTGAAACACTATCGTGGAACAAGTGGAAATTGAGATGCTAAAATCTGATCTTCAGACATCAGCAACACATATTATGTTGTAGTGAATTACATTACCCTATCAAAGATCCATAACAAAGATGCCCAGTTTTCTGTCATTGGTTACGAGCTATATAGATAAAATGAAGACATCTGTTATGTGGAAATTGCCTTTTAGTAGCATTCATTGTGATCCTCAATGAAGTACTCATGGCTCTCTGTTGGGAAGTGGTGATGGCTCCTCCTCTGTAGTGAATGAAGATTTAAAATGGGATCCCATTTGTATCTGCTTTGATGAATGCTCTTCTGAATTCTTTACTTCAAGAAGTGGCATGTAATAACATGTGGGCTCTAATCATCAGACTTGAGTTTTATCTTGAGTCCATTGCTTACTAGTTGTGTGACCCTGAACAAAGTCACTTAATATCTTTTAGTCCAGGTTCCCTCATTTGTAAAATGAGATTGTTGTAAGAATTGAGAGAATGCCTGTAAATACATTGAAAAGGCTCAATAATATTAGCTGTTATTATTAAATCTAGAAACAGACCAAATCTAAATGAAATGGTGAAACCACTGTCTAAAGGAATGAGAGTTTTTGTGTTTTTCCTTCCTTTTCCCTTTTGTGCTGTAGAAGTCATTGTCATTACAACCAGGGATGTCCAAAAGGCTCTATCTGCAGAATTCAAAATGAAAATGAAGCTAGATATTGTGTGTATTCCTGATGAAGCTGACAAGGGGACTGCAGATTCTCTTCGCCAAATACATCCAAAACTTAAGGTGAGAAACTATTTCTTCATTTTTATTATTTATTGAAGATAAATATCACCTTATGTTTTCCCACTGCATTACAGTTTATAATGCTTTTTTGAAAATATATTCTTGCATCACATATTTTGTTGCCCATGTACTCTTCAACCACTTTTTATTTATTTATTTAGTTTTTAGTTTTATGTATTTATTTACATGATTTCTGCACCTAACACGGGGCTCAAACTCATGACCCCAAGATCAAGAGTCACATGGTCCTCTGACTGAGCCAGTCAGGTGCCTCATTTTGATTATTAATGAAGATTTAGACATTTAGTTATCACAGTCACTGGTTTCCAATATTTTTGAGTAATTGTACATCTTTCTAAAAAAGATATACTTTTTTAAAAAAAGATTTTTTGTTTATTCAAGAGAGACAGAGAGAGAGAGCATAAGCAAGAGCACAAGCAGGGAGATGGGTCAGAGGGAGAGGGAAAAGCAGACTCCCCACTGAGCAGGGAGCCCAACACGGGGCTCGATTCCAGGACCCCGGGATCATGACCTGAGTCGAAGGCAAACACTTAACCAACTGAGCCACCCAGGTGCCCCAAAAAAGATATACTTCAAATGTGCTTTTAAAGATTCCATTTAAATGGGGGGGGTGGGGGGATGAGTTAGCCTGGTGATGGGTATTAAAGAGGGCACGTTCTGCATGGAGCACTGGGTGTTATGCACAAACAATGAATCATGGAACACTACATCAAAAACTAATGATGTAATGTATGGTGATTAACATAACAATAAAAAATAAAAAAAACAAAAAAAAGATTCCATTTAAATGAAGTTCATGAACAAGCAAAATTGATTGATTGATTGATTGAGAGAATGCATGCATGTGCAGGGGTGCAGGGGGTGGGGGTGGAGGGAGGACAGAGGGAGAGGGAGAGAGAATCCCCAGGCAGACTCCATGCTCAGTGCAGGGCCAGACTCAGGGCTCAGTCCCACAACCCTGAGATCATGACCTGAGCCGAAATCAAGAATTGGATGCTTAACTGACTGAGCCAGTTAGGTGCCCCCATGAACAAGCAAAAGTTAATCTACAGTGATAAAAATCAGAGCAGCAGTTGATTCTGCAGATGACAAATTGACTGGAAAGAATACAAAGGAATTTTCAAAAATTCCAGACCCTCACTCCTACAACATGATAACATTTGACCTTTTGATCTACTTTGATTAGATACTAACAAGGGCATATGAATATGAGGGCACAGTCTCCCTACTGGCCTGTGGCCTATGAATTGAGAAATATACACTGTATGCTGTTTTTAAATTGATGTCCTTTGGAAAAAATTCAGTCTGTATGATAATGTTGCCATCTTGTTTGAATTGAGGAGCAGTCTCTCCTGGTATTTCTGGTGACTGCAAACAGATCTGTTAATATTTTCAACCTGCCTATGCACTAAAGAACAAAAAATGAATGCAGAAATGTATATGGCCTTTCTCTCCATCCCACCTTTATTGGGGAATAATTTACACACAGTAAAATACAAAGATATTAAGGATATAGTTCAATGAGTTTTGACAGATACATAAACCCTGAATACCACTACCCAAATCAAGAACATTTCTGTTACCTCTGAAAGTTCCTTTGTACTTTTTTTTAGTAAGTCCCTCCCCCTTCCCCTTCTTCACTACCGCCCCCCCCAACCTCCCAGCACCCCTACCCCCCAGAGTCAATTCATATGTTAACTTTGCTTGTTCATGAACTAAATATAATGGAATCATACAATTTTATTCTGGTTTCTTTGGTTCAGCATAATATTTTTCAGACTCATTCATATCATTGCAGATATAACTAGGTTTTTTTTTTTATTCCATTAAATAAATACACCAGTATTTACTCATTTCCCTGTTGATGGTCATTTGGGTTATTTCTAATTTTGAGATATCATGAATAAAGCTGTTATGAACATTGTTTTGCAAGTCTTTTTGTGAAAATATTCTAGGTTGTAGGGTTTACTGTATTAGAAACTGCCATATAGTTTTCCAAGTGGTTATACCATTTTATACTTCCATCAACAATGTGTAAGGGTTGCATTTGCTTCACATCTTCATCAACACTTGGTATTGTCAATCTTTTACATTTTAACCATTCTAGTGGATATATATGTAGTAGTATCTCGTGGTTTTAATTTGCATTTCTCTGATAATAGTGATGATAACCACCTTTCCATGTGGTTATTGGCCATTTGTTTATCTTTATGGTGTGTTCAAAGCATTTGCCTATTTTTTTTAATATTTTTTTTTAAAGATTTCTATTTATTTGACAGAGAGCACAAGCAGAAGGAGAGAGAGGGAGAAGCAGGCTTCCTGCTGGGCAGGGAGCCCGATGTGGGACTTGATCCCAGGACCCTGGGATCATGACCCGGGCCGAAAGCAGCTGCTTAACCAACTGAGCCACCCAGGTGTCCCAGCATTTGCCTATTTTTAAATTGAATTGTTTACCTTTTTATTATTGATTATAGAAATTCCTTATGCATTCTAGATGCAAGTGTTTTGTCAGATGTGTTGTGAATATCTTCTGCTAGTCTGGGCTTGCCTTTTTACTTTCTTAATGGTGTCTTTTCATGACCAGAAGTTTTCGATGTTGATGAAATTAGAATTATTGCTTTTTTTCTCTTATGGCTAGTATACTTTTTGTGTCCTAAGAAATTTTTGCCTATCCCAAGCTTGTGAAGATTTTTTTTTTTAAGATTTATTTATTTGAGAGAGAGAAAGGGAGCACGTGAGTGGGGGAAGGGACAGAGGGAGAGGGAGAGAATCCCACTGAGCATGGAGCCCCACATGGGGCTCAATCTCATAACCCTGGGATCATGACCTGAGCCAAACCAAGAGTTGGACACTCAGTCAATTGAGCCATCCAGGTGCCCCAATGAAGATACTCTTTTATGTTTACTTCTAAAAGCTTTAGCTTTTATGTTTAGATGTCTGCCCCATCTTGATTTAATTTTGTATGTGGTATGAGGTAGGGATAAAATTTACTTTTTTTCTATATGGATATTTGTTCCAGCACCGTTTGTTAAAAAGACTTTACTTTCCCCATTGAATTGCACTGGTGCCTTCATTGAAAATCAACTGATCCTATATGTGTGGTCTGTTTCTGTTTTCTGTATTTTGTTTCATTGGTCTATTTGTCTGTCTTTACTTCAATACCACATTGAATAATGTCTTGATTATTTTAGCTTTATAGTAGGAATTGAACTGAATCTATAGATTAATTTGGGGAGAATTGCTATCTTAATATTGATTTTTCCAGTCTTGCACATCTGTTTATTTAGGTTTCTTTTAATTTCTCTCAATAGCATTTTATGATTTTCAGTGTAGAAGTTTTGAACATCTCTTGGTAAATTATTCCTAGGTAAATGTTTTTAATGATGTTGTAACTGGTGCTTTTTACTTTATTTTTCGATTGTTTGTTGCTTGTATATAGACATAAAATTGTTTTTTGAAGATTGACCTTGTCAAATTGTAGATTCTTTAGGATTTTCTGTATACATCATCATGTTGCTTATAAATAAAAACAGTATTACACCTTCCTTTTTAATCTTTATGCTTTTTTTTTTTTTGTCTCTTCCCCTGGCCAGGACTTCCAGTGCAATGTATTATAGGCATTTCCATTCGCTTTTGTCCTCTCTTTTTGTTTTCCTGTGCTTCCATCCAAGTAGGTTTTCGTGTTTCTGACTGGAGAGGAGATTTCCAATACCATAATGTTGGGTGTGTTACTTTCTGGACTGCAGCTGCTTATTTCCTTAGGGAAGTATGGGGAATTTCACTAAGAAAATGAAATGATAGTTCTGGTTTTTCATAGGAACGGATGCCAGGTTTACCAAGAAGCTTAGGGTGTTTAGTGTACTTCCCAGGAGCTGTTTTAGCTACGGTCTAAACGTTTAGGATGGAGATGTATTCTCTTTGCTCCCTAGTGTCTAAATCTTAGAAATGTTATTTTTACCCTAACCTGGAACTGGAGATTCTAGAAGTCTCATGGGAGAGTTGGTAACTCTCAGGGGCTTGAGAAGTAGTAGTGACAACTATAAATAGAAGTGGGCATGTGGAAGCAAGTAAAGTCACTACCAAAAGGACATTTTACTCCTAAGTAAAATGTCTGCCTCTTACGGTTTTGACCATTGAATCCTTACTTTAGAACCTAAAGATAAGAGTCTTCATTAAGTCATTCTGCACAGTCTCATTTCTTTTCCTCCTTTACATACCACTTTGCTTTTACATCATTTACATCACAGCACCTTTTACATATAATCCTGTCTCTGTGCCTTCTTCTCAAGCTTTGACTTGGGCTAGCAGGTCTCTGCTGTCTTTGCTCTCCCTACTTGGTTTCTCCTATACCAATGGCTCCTGGTATCCTGGCTTCACATCAACTTGCATTCCAACCTGGAGCAGAGGCAACAAAGCTAACCCGTGGAGGAACTTAGTAGACTCCTAAATAGCTGTTAAGATCAAAGTAAAACCTGAGCTAAGCCAAAATTCAGAACCATCGGGTTGGGATCAACATAAACTTGTAGGAATGGTAATGGAAATACATATAAACAGTTGAGGAAAGTGAAACAGCCTGAGAAGGCAGTTTGTTGGTGTTTGCTAAGAGATGTCAAGTACCTCTCTGAAGTAGAAAGTTGTACCCCCAGGTTGTGCCATGGTCTAAAAGCAGTGCCCCTGTGAGCCAATTTTTTTATCTTACCTTGTGCCCACAAAGCAGCTTCCTAAACATTTGGGGACTATTTTGGTCTGTTTTAAATAAGATTTTAGGTAAGATTATTCCCTTTGAGATTTGGGGTTTATGAGCTTTTGGTTCTTTTATCTTTACCCACTTCCTCCAGGTTGAGTTCTCCAAATGTTACTACGAAGTTATCCCATGTGGCTTCTGCTTTTCTAGAGAAAGACCGCAATAGTATATTAGCTTTATTTGGCTTTTTTGTTTAAAATATATTTCACCATTTTAATTTATAATCTTTTTCATT